AGGAAAGCACTGGTTTGGTAATAGTTTTGGATGAGTGGAACAAACTCCCGAGTACCGTCATGGAGGCTAAGACGTTGTGTAGTTTTAAAAATAGGTTTGATAAATACATGAGTGGAGGTGGGTGGGTGTGAGTTGGACCTGACCAGCTGTGCTACTAGGTCAGTTGCCGTGTTCCTTCCTTAGTGAATGTGACCTGACCTGCAACATACTGCCACTTGCCACTTGCTGTCACTTGCCACATGCTGTCACTTGCAACTTTCTGTCACTAGCCACTTGCTGTTACTAGCCACTTGCTGTCACCAGCCACTTGCTGTCACTTGCCACATGCTGTCACTTGCCACTTACTGTCACTTACAACTTATTGTCACTTGCCACTTGCTCTCACTTGCCACTTGCTGTCACTTGCAACTTGCTCTCACTTGTCACATGCTGTCGTTTGCTATTTGCCACAGCTGTCACTTGCCACTTGCTGTCACTTACTACATGCTGTCACTTGCCACTTGCTGCCATTTGCCATTTGTCGTCACTTGTCACTTGCTGTCATTCGCCCCTTGCTGTCACTTGTCACTTGCTGTCACTTGTCACTTGCCACATGCTGTCACTTGCCACCTGCTGTCACTTGCCACCTGCTGTCAATTGCCGCATGCTGTCACTTGCCACATGCTGTCACTTGCCACCTGCTGTCACTTGCCACATGCTGTCACTTGCCACCTGCTATCACTTGCCACATGCTGTCACTTGCCACCTGCTGTCATTTGCCACCTGCTGTCACTTGCCACTTGCTGTCACTTGCCACCTGCTGTCACTTGCCACATGCTGTCACTTGCCACCTGCTGTCACTTGCCACATGCTGTCACTTGCTACATGCTGTCACTTGCCACTTGCTGCCATTTGCCATTTGTTGTCACTTGTTACTTGCTGTCATTCGCCACTTGCTGTCACTTGTCACTTGCTGTAACTTGTCACTTGCCACATGCTGTCACTAGCCACTTACTGTCACTTGCCACATGTTGTCACTTGCCACATGCTGTCACTTGCCACATGCTGTCACTTGCCACATGCTGTCACTTGCCACTTGCTGTCACTTGCCACATGCTGCCACTTGCCACATGCTGTCACTTGCCACCTGCTGTCACTTCCCACATGCTGTCACTTCCCACTTGCTGTCACTTCCCACATGCTGTCACTTGCCACTTGCTGCCACTTGCCACTTGCTGTCACTTGCCACATGCTGTCACTTGCCACATGCTGTCACTTCCCACTTGCTGTCACTTGCCACATGCTGTCACTTGCCACATGCTGTCACTTGCCACCTGCTGTCACTTCCCACATGCTGTCACTTGCCACATGCTGTCACTTACCACATGCTGTCACTTGCCACATGCTGTCACTTCCCACTTGCTGTCACTTCCCACATGCTGTCACTTGCCACTTGCTGTCACTTGCCACTTGCTGTCACTTCCCACATGCTGTCGCTTCCCACATGCTGTCACTTCCCACATGCCATCACTTGCCACATGCTGTCACTTCCCACTTGTTGTCACTTCCCACATGCTGTCACTTGCCACTTGCTGTCACTTGCAACTTGCTGTCACTTCCCACATGCTGTCGCTTCCCACATGCTGTCACTTCCCACATGCCATCACTTGCCACATGCTGTCACTTGCCACTTGTTGTCACTTCCCACATGCTGTCATTTGCCACTTGCTGTCACTTCCCACATGCTGTCACTTGCCACTTGCTGTCACTTCCCACATGCTGTCACTTGCCACATGCTGTCACTTCCCACATGCTGTCACTTGCCACTTGCTGTCACTTCCCATAATACTGTCACTTGCCACTTGCTGTCACTTCCCACATGCTGTCACTTGCCACTTGCTGTCACTTCCCACGTGCTGTCATTTGTCACTTGCTGTCACTTCTCACATGCTGTCACTTGCCACTTGCTGTCACTTCCCACATGCCGTCACTTGTCACTTGCTGTCACTCCCGACATGCTGTCACTTGCCACTTTCTGTCACTTCCCACATGCCGTCACTTGCCACTTGCTGTCACTTGCCACTTGCTGTCACTTCCCACATGCTGTCCCTTCCCACATGCCGTCACATACCTCTTGCTGTTACTTGCCACTTGCTGTCACTTGCCACTTGCTGTCACTTGCCTCTTGCTGTCACTTGCCACTTGCTGTCACTTGCCACTTGCTGTCACTTCCCACATGCTGTCACTTGACACTTGCTGTCACTTCCCACATGCCGTCACTTGCCACTTGCTGTCACTTGCCACTTGCTGTCACTTGCCACTTGTTGTCACTTGCCACTTGCTGTCACTTGCCACTTGCTGTCACTTGCCACATGCTGTCACTTGCCACTTGCTGTCACTTGCCACTTGCTGTCACTTGCCACTTGCTGTCACTTGCCACTTGCTGTCACTTGCCTCTTGCTGTCACTTGCCACATGCCGTCACTTGCCACTTGCTGTCACTTGCCACATGCCGTCACTTGCCACTTGCTGTCACTTGCCACTTGCTGTCACTTGCCACTTGCTGTCACTTGCCACATACCATCACTTGCCACTTGCTGTCACTTCCCACATGCCGTCACTTGCCACTTGCTGTCACTTGCCACTTGCTGTCACTTCCCACTTGCTGTCACTTGCCACATGCTGTCACTTCCCACTTGCTGTCACTTGCCACTTGCTGTCACTTGCCACTTGCTATCACTTGCCACTTGCTGTCACTTGCCACTTGCTGTCACTTGCCACTTGCTGTCACTTGCCACATGCCGTCACTTGCCACTTGCTGTCACTTCCCACATGCCGTCACTTGCCACTTGCTGTCACTTGCCACTTGCTGTCACTTGCCACATGCCGTCACTTGCCTCTTGCTGTCACTTGCCACATGCCGTCACTTGCTACTTGCTGTCACTTGCCACATGCCGTCACTTGCCACTTGCTGTAACTTGCCACTTGCTGTCACTTGCCACATGCTGTCACTTCCCACATGCCGTCACTTCCCACATGCCGTCACTTGCCACTTGCTGTCACTTGCCACTTGCTGTCACTTGCCACTTGCTGTCACTTGCCACTTGCTGTCACTTGCCACTTGCTGTCACTTGCCACATGCTGTCACTTCCCACATGCTGTCACTTCCCACATGCCGTCACTTCCCACATGCCGTCGCTTGCCACTTGCTGTCACTTGCCACTTGCTGTCACTTGTCACTTGCTGTCACTTCCCACATGCCGTCACTTGTCACTTGCTGTCACTCCCCACATGCTGTCACTTGCCACTTTCTGTCACTTCCCACATGCCATCACTTCCCACATGCCGTCGCTTGCCACTTGCTGTCACTTGCCACTTGCTGTCACTTGCCACTTGCTGTCACTTCCCACATGCCGTCACTTGCCTCTTGCTGTCACTTGCCACTTGCTGTCACTCCCCACATGCTGTCACTTGCCACTTTCTGTCACTTCCCACATGCCGTCACTTGCCACTTGCTGTCACTTGCCACTTGCTGTCACTTGCCACTTGCTGTCACTTCCCACATGCCATCACTTGCCTCTTGCTGTCACTTGCCACTTGCTGTCACTTGCCACTTGCTGTCACTTGCCACTTGCTGTCACTTGCCACTTGCTGTCACTTCCCACATGCCGTCACTTGCCTCTTGCTGTCACTTGCCACTTGCTGTCACTTGCCACTTGCTGTCACTTGCCACATGCCGTCACTTGCCTCTTGCTGTCACTTGCCACTTGCTGTCACTTGCCACTTGCTGTCACTTGCCACTTGCTGTCACTTGCCACTTGCTGTCACTTGCCACTTGCTGTCACTTGCCACTTGCTGTCACTTGCCACTTGCTGTCACTTGCCACTTGCTGTCACTTGCCACTTGCTGTCACTTGCCACTTGCTGTCACTTGCCACTTGCTGTCACTTGCCACTTGCTGTCACTTGCCACTTGCTGTCACTTGCCACTTGCTGTCACTTGCCACTTGCTGTCACTTGCCACTTGCTGTCACTTGCCACTTGCTGTCGCTTGCCACTTGCTGTCACTTGCCACTTGCTGTCACTTGCCACTTGCTGTCACTTGCCACTTGCTGTCACTTGCCACTTGCTGTCACTGCCACTTGCTGTCACTTGCCACTTGCTGTCACTTGCCACTTGCTGTCGCTTGCCACTTGCTGTCACTTGCCACTTGCTGTCACTTGCCACTTGCTGTCACTTGCCACTTGCTGTCACTTGCCACTTGCTGTCGCTTGCCACTTGCTGTCACTTGCCACTTGCTGTCACTTGCCACTTGCTGTCACTTGCCACTTTCTTCGACCGCGGAGAAATTTCATCCAGATAATACATAACAATGTTTGTGTCGTCTCGTGGCACAGTCATTGTGCTTTCTCCATATTTTTTTGTACATATTTTCTTGAAATATTTTTTTTAATTACTTGGCATGTTTCGTATCATAATCATGTGTCCATAACATCAACTTCTCGTTCAATATCATTAGTCGTTGTATATGCATTGAAAGAATTAGTTTAGTGCACTGCAATGTCTATTGCAACTCCCAGGTCAATAATTATATGTAATTTGTTCGTTAGAACCCTGTTTCATGGAACAGTTATGTTTATAAGAGAAACAAAAGTCTTGGTTAAGGAGTGAGAGGAAATGACGTTCTCTCTCTCTCTCTCTCTCTCTCTCTCTCTCTCTCTCTCTCTCTCTCTCTCTCCTCTCTCTCTCTCTCTCTCTCTCTCTCTCTCTCTCTCTCTCTCTCTCTCTCTCCTCTCTCTCTCTCTCTCTCCCCTCTCTCTCCCTCTCTCTTCTCTCTCGTAGGTCTTCGCTATGTTGGAGTACTGGGTGGTAACAGTGCGGCCTCTGGACCTCCAGATAATAGATAATTCTCGAATGATGGTCTCTTGACAGGAAGAACAAGAATGTCAGCCACGGGGATTAAGTCAATAAAATGTCAAGTCATTAAACAAATTTATAGATAACATAAGACCAGTGACCTGCGCTGACCTATACAAAAAAAAATATTCACTGAAGTATACAAACATACCAACATTTATATCAAATAAAATCAGGTACCCAGGAAGTAGACGTTTCCTGCGATAATCTCAAGAAGATTTATTGTAAAGATAACAGATGATTTTGCTTGTAGGGTATAACAAGCATACTCCTGCGAATTTAAGTGGCGCGATCAGTCTAAGTTGCATCTGCAGTCTTAAGTTGATTGTGGAGATACCAACCATATGACCAGTACGACACAGGCTGCAGTAGCAACGTCGAGTTGGGTGTGGAGGCCAGCCACCACACGAACCGATCGTACTACCAGTGCACCAAAAAGTGTAGCAGCAGCGTCAGGTTGGAGAGGAACACGTCGATCGTACATCCAGTGTACCATCAGCAGCATCGTGTTAGGAGCGCAACACACTCCAACTCTCACAACCAGAGACATAATTTTGATCTTGAAAATTTCACAATAACGTGAAAAATAGAGTGATTAAAACCACTAATAAAATATCCAGTAGAACGGAACAATATCATTCGCAGCATCACATGAGAGGCCATGTGACTTGTCACAGTGGAACTGTATATTTGTCTCTGTGAACAGTGCTTTTTCTATTATATATTTTATACTGTATCGAGTACTGTGATCGGTTGAGACTATTGTATTTTAATGGTGCACTTGTCTTGATGATTATCTCACAATTTATGTTGGACCTCCCTCACAACTAGGTGCATGGGGCTGGAGCACTATAAGCCGCATGGAGATGGAATACTGATGGAAGGACTAGCTACCGAAAAATGTATCCATCGCTGACGACTAGCGCTCAAAATCTAGAAAATTTTAAATTACTCTCCACCATTCATCTTACCCAGCAAGTGTCTTAGATCATCCTCTGAATAAGGCGTCGGAAGGATTTCATGAAGCCAGTGACTCCTCCTTCACGGAGGCGACCTATACCACGGATACCATTTCCCCCTCGGATAGCGCCCAGGGCGATGGGTGAATCTTCTATAGACTCCCTTTGCGGCCTCCATTGGCCAAGCTGCTTCTGGGGGCGTCCTCCCTGTGGGGGTCTGCCTGGCCGACGTTTGGGCTTCCTGTTTCTTTGACGCTTGGGTCGACGAACTGGCTTGTTGTCTACAAAAGAAAATAAAAACAAATATTAAGAACGAATTTACAGAGGCAGGTCTGCGTTCGTAATTAAGCTTGTCAATTATGTGTTAATTTTAGTTTTCTCCTTCATATAAACCAAGCACTTTTATAAATTAACGGGAAGAATGCAAGACACAATACCGTGGTAGAAACAACACATAACTCTCACAAAGCTGAGATGAATACTCGACATTTCGGTCCACACCGGACTTCATAACTGAATAAGATGGACCGAAACACCGTGAAGGTTCATATCAGATTTCTGGGTTAGTTATGACTTCACAGATAAGACTATACATGCATCGTGATATATAATCACGTGAATGTGAGAGAAACTTGTAAAACTGAGATTCGTTTCAGACGGGTGAGACTGAACTAAGCCATGGATTAATGAGATTGCAAACATCAGGCAAGAAGTAGTAAGAATCTTAACAAGGCTGAGCTAAGCCATGGGTTCATGAGGTTGGAGAGTTGCATGCAAGGGCTAGGTGAAGCTACTGTGGCGCTACCTTCTTGTCTAGTGTCGGCGAGGAGCATCGGAGGGGGTGTTGGAACGGGTATTTCCCCGTGAGAGGCTGGTAAGTTGCAAACTACTGGTGATTTAGGAGCAGATGGCGGTCTCGGGACCTGTGGACCGAAGTCCGGAAAATAGGCAGGGGCACTTAGCTCTGGGATAGTGAAAGGCGCTGGACCGCCTACAGGATGGTCGGGTTCGAACCCATCTGAAGGTACTGGGTCGTCGAACCCTCCCAGAGGTTCAGAACCAGAGGGCAGGAAGGTAGTGTTACCTTTGTAAAATGCCGAACATCGTTTGATATTGAAAGGTTATAGCCTTAGCTCGTCATCGTAAATCAACTTGACTGGTGAGTGGGATCTCGATCGTCCAGGAACTGTTACTTCAACCGTACTTCAAGAGGACTTCTCGGGATAAAAACCACGTATCATGTCGGTCGCCCTCTGAAAGAACTTATCTCAACCCCAGGGAGATTCGCATGACAGAATGAATAACGAATTGCAATGCGTGAAGAAGCTCATTTAGTTGTACAGTTATGATATGTGTTCATGTCTACGATGACAATTGTGCCGCTGGAGCGGCTAGTTTATTGTACACCCACAGCTCATCCTGTGAGCGGTTCAGCAAAATAAAAAAAAGTACAGAGGTCACAATGGGTCTTGTCAGACCCACACATTTATATCACCAGAAAGAAATATTAGTCATATTATATTTTACAGTTACTTCGTATATTTGATGTACACAACACATTATGGAATAGTCTAAAAAATGATATCGTATTACCAGTAAAATAAATGGTCATAACTGGTTCAATCTCTGATGAAACAGTTCATATCAATATTTCGATGCAAAATGTGAGACAACCTCAGATTTCGGATATTATAACAATGAAATGTTTTGTAATATTCTGTAAGGTTTGCATGGAGGTGTTTCTGAAAAATTGTATGTTTGTACACTCTAAGATGTAATGTTCCAGTGTATGACCCTGTCTCTGTCCACACACCAGTGTATGACACTGTCTCTGTTCCACACACAGTTGTATGACACGTCTCTGTCAAATCCAGTGTATGACCCTGTCTCTGTCCACACACCAGTGTATGACACTGTCTCTGTCCACACACCAGTGTATGACACTGTCTCTGTCCACACACCAGTGTATGACACTGTCTCTGTCCACACACCAGTGTATGACACTATCTCTGTCCACACACCAGTGTATGACACTGTCTCTGTCCACACACCAGTGTATGACACTGTCTCTGTCCACACACCAGTGTATGACACTGTCTCTGTCCACACACCAGTGTATGACACTGTCTCTGTCCACACACCAGTGTATGACACTGTCTCTGTCCACACACCAGTGTATGACCCTGTCTCTGTCTACACACCAGTGTATGACACTGTCTCTGTCCACACACCAGTGTATGACACTGTCTCTGTCCACACACCAGTGTATGACCCTGTCTCTGTCCACACACCAGTGTATGACACTGTCTCTGTCCACACACCAGTATATGACCCTGTCTCTGTCCACACACCAGTATATGACCCTGTCTCTGTCCACACACCAGTATATGACCCTGTCTCTGTCCACACACCAGTCTATGACCCTGTCTCTGTCCACACACCAGTATATGACCCTGTCTCTGTCCACACACCAGTATATGACCCTGTCTCTGTCCACACACCAGTACAGACCTGTCTCTGTCACCACCAGTATATGACCCTGTCTCTGTCCACACACCAGTGTATGACCCTGTCTCTGTCCACACACCAGTATATGACCCTGTCTCTGTCCACACACCAGTGTATGATCCTGTCTCTGTCCACACACCAGTATATGACCCTGTCTCTGTCCACACACCAGTGTATGACCCTGTCTCTGTCCACACACCAGTATATGACCCTGACTCTGTCCACACACCAGTGTATGACCCTGTCTCTGTCCACACACCAGTCTATGACCCTGTCTCTGTCCACACACCAGTATATGACCCTGTCTCTGTCCACACACCAGTATATGACCCTGTCTCTGTCCACACACCAGTACATGACCCTGTCTCTGTCCACACACCAGTATATGACCCTGTCTCTGTCCACACACCAGTGTATGACCCTGTCTCTGTCCACACACCAGTATATGACCCTGTCTCTGTCCAACACACAGTAATGACCCTGTCTCTGTCCACACACCAGTATATGACCCTGTCTCTGTCCACACACCAGTGTATGACCCTGTCTCTGTCCACACACCAGTATATGACCCTGTCTCTGTCCACACACCAGTATATGACCCAGTCTCTGTCCACACACCAGTGTATGACCCTGTCTCTGTCCACACACCAGTATATGACCCTGTCTCTGTCCACACACCAGTGTATGACCCTGTCTCTGTCCACACACCAGTATATGACCCTGTCCTGTCCACACACAGTGTATGACCCTGTCTCTGTCCACACACCAGTATATGACCCTGTCTCTGTCCACACACCAGTGTATGACCCTGTCTCTGTCCACACACCAGTGTATGACACTGTCTCTGTCCACACACCAGTATATGACCCTGTCTCTGTCCACACACCAGTGTATGACCCTGTCTCTGTCCACACACCAGTATATGACCCTGTCTCTGTCCACACACCAGTGTATGACACAGTCTCTGTCCACACACCAGTATATGACCCTGTCTCTGTCCACACACCTGTGTATGACCCTGTCTCTGTCTACACACCAGTGTATGACCCTGTCTCGGTCCACACACCAGTATATGACCCTGTCTCTGTCCACACACCAGTGTATGACACTGTCTCTGTCCACACACCAGTATATGACCCTGTCTCTGTCCACACACCAGTGTATGACCCTGTCTCTGTCCACACACCAGTGTATGACCCTGTCTCTGTCCACACACCAGTGTATGACACTGTCTCTGTCCACACACCAGTGTATGACACAGTCTCTGTCCACACACCAGTATATGACCCTGTCTCTGTCCACACATCAGTGTATGACCCTGTCTCTGTCCACACACACATGTGTATGACACTGTCTCTGTCCACACACTAGTGTATGACCCAGTCTCTGTCCACACACCAGTGTATGACACTGTCTCTGTCCACACGCCAGTGTATGACCCTGTCTCTGTCCACACACCAGTGTATGACACTGTCTCTGTCTACACACCAGTGTACGAAACAGTCTCTGTCCAAACACCAGTGTATGACACTGTCTCTGTCCACACACCAGTGAATGACACTGTCTCTGTCCACACACCAGTGTATGACACTGTCTCTGTCACACACCAGTGTAGACGCTGTCTCTGTCCACACACCAGTGTATGACACTGTTTCTGTCCACACACCAGTGTATGACACTGTCTCTGTCCACACACCAGTGTACGACAAAGTCTCGGTCCACACACCATGTATGATACTGTCTCTGGTCCACACATCAGTGTATGACACTTTCTGTCCCACACACCAGTGTATGACACTGTCTCTGTCCACACACCAGTGTATGACACTGTCTCTGTCCACACACCAGTGTATGACACTGTCTCTGTCCACACACCAGTGATGACACTGTCTCTGTCCCACACACCAGTGTATGACACTGTCTCTGTCCACACACCAGTGTATGACACTGTCTCTGTCCACATCATCAGTGTATGACACAGTCTCTGTCCACACCACCAGTGTATGACACTGTCTCTGTCCACACACCAGTGTATGACACTGTCTCTGTCCACACACCAGTGTAAAACACGTCTCTGTCCACACACCAGTGATACGACACATGTCTCTGTCCACACACCAGTGTATGACACGTCTCGTCCACCACCAGTGTATGACACTGTCTCTGTCCAATACACCAGTGTATGACACGTCTCTGTCCACCACCGTTATACATGCTCTGTCAACACCGTATGACCTGTCTCTGTCCACACACCAGTTATGACACTGTCTCTGTCCACACACCAGTATATGACCCTGGTCTCTGTCCACACACCAGTTATGACACTGTCTCTGTCCACACACCAGTATATGACCCTGTCTCTGTCCACACACCAGTTATGTACCCTGTCTCTGTCCACACACCAGTCTATGACCTGTCTCTGTCCACACACCAGTACTATGACCCTGTCTCTGTCCACACACCAGTGTATGACCCTGTCTCTGTCCACAACACAGTATATGACCCTGTCTCTGTCCACACACCAGTGTATGACCCTGTCTCTGTCCACACACCAGTCTATGAACCCTGTCTCTGTCCACACACCAGTATATGACCCTGTCTCTGTCCACACACCAGTCTATGACCTGTCTCTGTCCACACACCAGTATATGACCCTGTCTCTGTCCACACACCAGTCTATGACCCTGTCTCTGTCCACACACCAGTATATGACCCTGTCTCTGTCCCACACACCAGTATATGACCCTGTCTCTGTCCACACCACCAGTCTATGACCCTGTCTCTGTCCACACACCAGTATATGACCCTGTCTCTGTCCACACACCAGTGTATGACCTGTCTCTGTCCACACACCAGTATATGACCCTGTCCTCTGTCCACACACACCAGTGTATGACCTGATCCTTTCCAACAGTTATGACCGCTCTGTCACACACCAGTATATGACCCTGTCTCTGTCCACACACCATGTTGGCTAATGAAACCCTGTCTCTGTCCACACACACAGTATATGACCCTGTCTCTGTCCACACACCATTTAATGACCCTGTCTCTGTCCACACACCAGTTATGACCCTGTCTCTGTCCACACACCAGTATATGACCGTCTCTGTCCACACACCTTTATACCCTGTCTCTGTCCACACACCAGTATATGACCCTGTCTCTCTGTCCACACACCAGTACATGACCTGTCTCTGTCCACACACCAGTATATGACCCTGTCTCTGTCCACACCACCAGTGTATGACCCTGTCTCTGTCCACACACCAGTATATGTCCCTGTCTCTGTCCACACACCAGTATATGACCCTGTCTCTGTCCACACACCAGTATATGACCCTGTCTCTGTCCACACACCAGTGTATGACCCTGTCTCTGTCCACACACCAGTATATGACCCTGTCTCTGTCCACACACCAGTATATGACTCTGTCTCTGTCCACACACCAGTACATGACCCTGTCTCTGTCCACACACCAGTATATGACCCTGTCTCTGTCCACACACCAGTGTATGACCCTGTCTCTGTCCACACACCAGTATATGACCCTGTCTCTGTCTACACACCAGTGT